CATAATGCAATCTTCTAAATATCAACTTGATTTGAATCATGATCTCAACTTGACTTCAGTACGATACTCGCCAGATCCTTCACTGACTTGTGAACCCGGGATAGTTTCGCGCAAAAAAATCGCGCTACGCTGTTATTGTTTTACCTCTGCAACACTCAAGTACGACGTGGTTCCCGGCGTAAGATGGAACGCTTCTCGCGGGTGGTAATTCAAAGGCGAACTCAGCTTGCGTCCAATGGAGAATTATTATGTAATCTTTGCCTTCTGAAACGGATATCAGTTGTAACTATAGTTACAGTAACGTGCTCTGTCGCGCATAATGGAAAGTTCAGGTATTCCCTTGCCTGGCGATGCCTGAAGGCTACGATAATTTTACGGCTCATTTGCATAATACCGTCGGCCAGTCACGTGAATCACTTTGATAAGCTCAATAGTAATGGTTTACTCTCGCTCTATGTTGGTCTCTACGTTCGATTGTACCGAGATCTCTGCGGGGAGTTTCGATTTGCTGTTCGACCGTGCCGGCTGTACCGCAATTCAATTTTTCAGCCTTTCGCTATGATATAAACTAGAATATAGACAAAGGGTGTCCCCCAGAGTTACAATGTTCCGCGTATCCGGCGACAAAGGAAATTAAAAACGCGTCAGCGTTATTGAAAAAAAAACGCGACTCTGCCGAGTACTTGGACGGCGCGGCATTTGAAAGACGTCGGCGGCAGCCTGTCCGAGAAACCGTTCAATTTTTCAGATGTCTCTTAAATGTCTCGCGGATGTCTTTTGAACTTTTGCGTCACCCCGGCAGTCTCGATATATCCGAATTGCTCAATAACCCAATGGAGCGTTGGTTATTAAGTGAGCCTGCTATTTCCAGCCGTCTGCAGACTACGGCTACTTTTAAATGCGCCCGCATCTTATCAGCTCGCGCAGCTAACTTGATGCTTCCAGGGTAAGCGATACGTTCATCGGGCCGCGCAAAAGTTGAGCCGGTGTCGGGTTTAATAACGTGCGTGCAATTAATTTCGACGTTTAAAGGTAACGCGCGATCCACTTCTGAACAGGGCTTCCGTGTGTATTATAATATCGAGTCTCTTCGCCCTGCAACTTCAATGGAACACCGGGGCGTTCCTGCGGCGTCTCCTCCGCCCGCCCGTGACGAACTCGAGTTTGGCAAATTGGCTTCTCGACTTACAATCAACCGCATTCCACAAACGTGTTACACGTCCGCATGATATCTATAATTCTCCGGGACAATGCTCGAGAGGAAGATAGAGAGAGAGAGAGAGACAACGGACTATCAATGTTCGGCATTTACATATTGTGCGCACATAGCCGTATCGCGCGGATCGATGCATTAAGAAATTCGAGCGACGACTCGTCGAGATGCGCCGCGAGCGAGTTCACTCGCAAAATCAATCCTCTCGTCCGTCCGTCCCGTCCCTTTTCAGTGGCAAGAGCGATTAAAGTAAATTACGGAATCGCGTATATGGAATGAAAATAATCGTCCATAGAGTAATACAAATCCGGCATTGGTATAAAAAAGCAATTTGTATTTCCACGTCTCTCATTGTGCGATGAATTATCGACCCTTTCATTTCAGCGCAATAAATATTACCTCTTTTACCGCTTCAATGAAAATATCTCTTTCAAATAAATTCTGATTTTATCGATATTTTCGAAACACGGTTTATTACAAAAAGCCGTAATTTATACAGTTTCTATTGGCGATACATAGCTGTAATTTTGCGAGTTTGAAGCGCAGACGCGTAACAATGCGTCCTGAGGATCGCTCCGGCTCGTCGCAATATTACAGTAATTAGTTCTCGTTCGACGGTAATGCACGGAAATGGCGACAAAATCGGAAAATACACGCGGACAAACCGGCAAACGCAATCAGCGTCGATCGGCTACTCGCAAATAACCTGTCGCTTAGAAATTCAATTTTCCGTGACGTTCGTAAGAAAGTTCATGCCTCTCGATGGAATTCCCGGACACCTCGTTCCCCGAATCACGGGCCAGAGGTGGCGCACGATGAAAGTCACCCGGAAGAGAGCGAGGAAACGCCGCTGGGAAACGAGGGAAATTTGTTCTGCTAATTCGGGCGATGTTTATTCTCCCAAAGCTAACAGCCGGCAGAACCGAGACGCGTTAATTACGGAGCATGTCTAATTCGGTTTCTAGTTTTTCGAGGTCCGACGGTGTCGCGAAATTATATCCAAGTTTTTTTTCACTCATATGCAAATACACATCAAGTTATCCGCTCACTTATGCCGAGCTCGATAATTTGTTTCAATATTTACCTCCCTGTCGTCAGTTTCGTCTACGTCGTCTACACGGCGCAATAAATTAATTAGTTCCTAGAGCAAAGTAAACCCAAGCGAGTTGTCCTAAAAAACGTTATCAAACACGCGATTTCAACTTTGTACACAAGTTTTCGATAATATTCCCGCGTAAGTTTCCGATAGGGTAGCTGAGAAAACTGTGCTCTTAATGTCTAACAGAATTTCTGGTTGAAATGCAATTTCGCGACAGGGAAATACCGTAAATAGAATTTCCTAACATCGGCAATGTGTCTGTGTATATGTAACATTATGGCCCCATATTATTCATCATTCCTGGACGTGGCAAAATTTCAGGTAATTTATATACGGTTTACTCGTGAAGCGTGTTTATGACGAACGAGTGAATTTCCGCAACATGTCCGACACGACGTCCGATCGATATCTCCTTTAAGGAGTGTTCTAAATAGCGAACCGTCCAGCATTTGCAAAGGGGGAAAAAAGAAGGCTTTTTGATATTCCGCCGGGGAAAAATGCTGGAACGCCGAGGCGAATCGCGATCCGCAAATTGCTCGACAGAGATACAGAGAGAAGCACAGTTTGGTACAAGAATAACTTGAAATTCCTGATCTCAACAATCAAACCGTTCATTGCTCCCACCGACTGTTCTCGATTTAATGCAATTCAGCATACATATAGCGAATTATGAATAACTCGGTATGTCGATAGAGTTCGCTCTGAAATTATTGGCAGAATGCCTTTCGCTGAACGATCTCGGGCGATCTGGTTTAAAGCGCTTTATTCATGAGTCCATTCATTGCATGGAAATCAACTGGAATGCGATAGTGGCCCGCGGTATTTAAGAATACCAGAGTACACGAGAAACGATCCCACCTTTGGGCGATCCCGGGCGAGAATTACGTTCGGAATTCGTCTTATCGCGCGAAACGTCACGATAACACGACTTTTTCTACCGACGCCCGTGCCTTCCCTTTCTCGAGGGAAAAAGCGCCACGAACATCTGATGTAGCGATCTCAACTTTCTCATAAACGTCCGGCTAATTATTTCAGGTCACGACAGATTAACCTCCAATCAATTACACCGTGAGATATCGTAAAATAGAACAAACTTGGGTTACAGTTAAATAACCAAAAAAAAAGAAGACCAGCGCGATTCGATTCGTTAATAAACCACATCGTGTAAAAGCTGGTTACCTCGAAGCTCATTAAATCGCAATATTCCGTCGAAAATTGGGTCTCCCTTACAGTATTTTATTCGTGATATACATTTCGATATAATCGCGTCCGCGCGGGCGCGTGTGTGGGGGGGAAACAATACGCGGTGTCGGTGTGGCCCATTTTACCGACACACTCGCGCTTTGTTCGAATGAGCGACAGGGTGTCGTTGCACCGCTTTAAGTTTATTTGGGCCATCAGGAAATAACGAAAAAATATCCGTTCATCCGCAGCGCTAGATTACAACCCGCGGAACTCTATTTAGCTTAAAACGTATTTGCGCGCCTCGTGATAATCGCTTTTAAATTATGATTATCGACATAATCATCCATTTCACTCAATCGTTAAATTATCGAGCCCCGGCGTAAATTGAGAAATTTATTCAAAAACGCGTACGAGCGACCATAGAAATGTTCGCCCAAAACTGCAGAATTATATCCTTTCCCGATCCTACAATTTCATTGTCAACGCTAATCTCTTTTCCTAAATTACTTAGGCTTCACAATATCTCCTTTAAGGGGATGCTGCAATGATTCTGCACCTTTGGCACCTTCGCATCTAGAACTGTCAATTCATGAAGACATTTGTAACACAAATTACAAGACTTATGCGTAGAAATCGAAAGTTTCCCGCTATTCGGACTAAATCAGAGAACAGCGTGGTATCGTCGAAACTAAGTTTAGAAGCGTAAAAAGAAATATATTCGCTTAAATAAGTTTTAGGTTAGATAACCTATATATGTGTTCACCCAAAGACTGCAGAATCATATCCTTTCCCGATCCTACAATTTCATTGTCAACGCTAATCTCTTTTCCTAAATTACTTAGGTTTCACAATATCTCCTTTAAGGGGATGCTGCAATGATTCTGCACCTCTTGCACCTTTGCATCTAGAACTGTCAATTCACGAAAACATTTGTAACACAAATTATAAGACTTATGCGTACAAATCGAAAGTGTCCCACTATTCGGACTAAATCAGAGAACAGCATGGCATCGTCGAAACTAAGTTTAGAAGCGTAAAAAGAAATCTATTCGCTTCAATAAGTTTTAGGTTAGGTAACCTGTAACTTATTCGAGTGAATAGATATTTCGTTTGGCTTCTAAACTTAATTCCAATGATACCACGCTGTTCTCTGATTTAGTCCGAATATGTCGGTCTCTACACAAAAGCCATATAATTTGTGTATTACACAATTTTTTTCCTAAATTGACAGGAGAAAAAGGTGCAAAGGTGCAGAATCACCCCAGCATCCCCTCAGGCGAGATTTAAAACTTTTAGAGCCCCCTCCTGGCAGCACTGTCGCCGCGCTCCTTTCAAAACAAATTTCCCAACTGCTCATAAAGTAATTCATCAATTATAAACCGACGACTGGCGCGATTAAGCAACAGTCGACGTGAAATATCACGCGCGCGGCTCGATCCCGTCTCGAGGCCCTCGCGGAGAGAAGCCGGCGCGCGATGATGATAAATATAAGATTGTACTCACCTGTCTGATGCGAGAGGAACGTTATCAGAGGCAGCACGACGCGCAGCCATCCTCCTCGATGCTGCTTCATGCTGGGTATTTCTATGAGCGCTGTTCTATGACGGCTCTCTTCTTACCCTCCCGCTACGAGCGACGACGACGACAGTGACAACGACGATGGCGACGACGACGACGACAAAACTGATCTCGTTGTGTCACACTCGCCGCTCTTTTATTGACAGTTACTCACTGCAGCATCCCGACACTGAACAACATCCGTGAACGACGTGCACGTCACCGTCATTCTCTCGTAACTAATCGCGCACACCACTCGTTTGTCGCCGCACGCTCTCACATGACGACTTCGATAAGGTCCGTCATTTGTCCGCGGCGACAATCGTCGACTGGTGATTATCGTTTGCCGGCGACAACTGTCCACAATCGCGACCACTTTCCCTATTGAGATATCGTTTTTTTTGTTTTTTTTTAAGAGAAACCCTCCTAGATGACGTCGCGCAATTCTCCTTTGTGGCGATCCCTCTTTCCGCGAACCTCCTCTCGATATTCAAACGAATCGACAGGCTATCAGTGCGTTGCTTTGATGAGACCCGCCGTGACCCGATGATCGTCGGCCAACAATGTCCGTTTTCCTAATCCTCTTTGCGCGTGGTATATATGTGGAAATTGTTCTTTCCCTCAAGACGACTCTCATGAATAATTAGTTTCCGTGCCTTGGACTCTCTCGTTCCGTTTTCTCTTCGTGACGATTTTTCTCTTGCCGTCAGGACGCGCAATGCCGTTCTCGTGGAAAGCGGGTCGAATCTTCACGCGTGCGTCGATGCTCGGGCGCTCAAATCACGAAACGACGTCATCGTAAGTGCACGGCCTGGAATTTCATTTGCCAGCACTCGCTTTCCCACGTACAGGTTTGCGACACGCGGTTGACGATTATTGTCAGCTTAACGAAGCGCACGCGGCGCTGCCCGCATTTCTGGCTCGCGTTAGAATTGCCGGGCGCAAAACGGGGTTGACCGAACGCGGACTTAGAACCCGTACGGCTCACGTGTTCTCCAGTTTAAAGATTCTCGCCACCGCGAGAAGGATTCTTCGCGAACCGCGCCGAAGTTCGTGCAACTTTGCTGCGCTTCGGTAATTAGGGCTATCCTAGAAATTTACCCGCTGTACGCTTTTATTCACGAGTTACGCGCCATTCTTCAAGTCCGCGTAATGATACCCGCGAGATCCCCCCCGACTTTTCTAAACTCACATTGAAAGTAATTAATTACCGCGAGGCATGCACGTCTTCGTACTTTAGATACTACGTTAATTACCTCTCTTCCGATTTACTTCTTAATTGCTCGTACACCACGATTTATGCACTCTGGCACGTATCCCCCGGGCCTTTGCACGTGCCCTGTTTGATATGGCGTGTCAATATGGAGAGAGAGAGGCCCTTTTTTTTCGATTCACATCCAACGAGCTTTGAATCGCGATGAGATGCCTCGTGACGCGTTAAACTACTCGATTTCGAGCACCGGCAAATATTTACCAAATTCGACACTATTCCAAATCGCTCTCGCAATGACGTCGGTCGCGGAAAAACGGCCACGTCCGCGGGGGAAAAAGATGTAAGGAAATCCGCACTTTCTCGGGCACTCTCGCGTAGACCACGCACGATCACTTATCTCGAACGGTACACTTGTTCCCGATTTCCCGTCGACTCGTACTCCCAGTTTCGTCCAGGGATCAAAGCACTTCAGGCCAGCCTGACGAGATCGATCGCGCGACTCGGTGTCCGCATCGTAATTGACACGGGGCGTTTCGAGATTTGCTCGAGGCACTAAGAATGATCCAGCGCTTTTCGCTTCACGCCTCGAGACATCTACCTTCTCGATAGAATTGCATTATTTATCAGACACGCTACGTGCCCCGCGCGGAGTTTTACGACCCGGCATTATCGATTGTCCGAACGACCAGTCCAGGTACACGCTTTAATTCACCGGCAAGCGCATCGTTTATACCGCAGCCCCTGCGCCGCGACGACCGGCCTCTCAGAAATTCGCAAGACATAGAATAAATTTGTTCTCAGCGGGCGACCCTTTGATCACGGGATTAACGGGGCGATCGGGCGGGTCTTCCTTTTTTCCTTACTCGTCTCCGTCATGTAGAATCACAGTTTCAGATTCCCGCAGATTTGTCGCCGCGACTGGTGCGCCAAGTTTAAAGCCTCGTGAGGAGCTCACGTCGATTCGATCGATCTGAGATGAGGACGAGCGCGCCGGATTTTAGGCGGCCTTCTAATCCTGGCTTAAGAAATCTCCGTCTCCGGTTGGCAGCGTGTCATCGCGTTCCCTCCCGCGGGTTGCGCCTCATTAACCCGAGAAGCAGCGGTGTACATGAATCGCCGGTTAAGCTTCAATCTGCAATTTCCGAAAATTTCTTCCATCGCCGCTCACATCTCGCCGTGCGAACATCGCCGTCCCGTAGAAAATGGCAGCGTCTTCGTCGCGCGATGCCCTGCGACAGACAAAAAATCGATCGTGTTAGACGCACAGTCGATCGGACATCGTCTCACACCTGTTTGTTAACAGGTTATTCTTATATTTTTTATATTAATGCGCTTGGAAAACTTATTCACTCGATTAAGGGGATGCTGAAGCGTTTCTACACTTTTGGCACCTATTGCTCCTAGAACTGTCAATTCATGAAAACATTTGTGTAATATATTATACAAATTATGTAGCTTTTGTGTACAGACCGACAGTGTCCCACTATTCAGATTAAGTCAAAGAACAGCATGGTATTATTGAAATTAAGTTTAGGAGCTTAACAAAAAGTCTATTCATTCGAATAAGTTACAGATTACCAAACCTACAACGTATTGGAGTGAATAGATTTTTTGTTAGGCTTTTAAACTTAATTTCAATGACACCACGCTGTTCTCTGGTTTAGTCCGAATAGTGGGACACTGTCGGTCCGTACATAAAAGCCACATAATTCGTATATTACGTAAATGTTTCCATGAATTGACAGTTGTAGGAGCAAAAGGTGTAAAAAGTGCAGAATAACTCCAGCATTCCCTTAATATCGAACAGTTGAGGCCTCTTGTTCGCGATGCCGTGTTTCTCATTAGTTAACCTTTTTAACTATTTGTTACGCTGGAATAATTTTGCACTTTTTGCACCTTTTGTTCCTATAGCTGTCAATTCAAGGAAACATTTGTGTAATATACGAATTATGTGTACAGACCGACAGTGTTCCGTTATTCGGGCTAAATTAGAGAACAGCATGGTATCATTGAAATTATGTTCAGAAGTCTAACAAAAAATCCATTCACTGGAATCAGTTGTAGAGCTAACCTATAACTTATTCGAGTGAATAAATTTTTTGCTACGCTTCTAAATTTAATTTCAATGATACCACGCTGTTCTCTGATTTAGTCCGAATAGTGAAACACTTTCGGTCCGTACATAAAAGCCACATAATTTGTATATTACACAAATGTTTTCACGAATTGACAGGTCTAGGAGCAAAAGGTGCCAAAAGTGCAGAACCACTCCAGCATCCCCGAAATCGTAAAGATTCCCTAAAACAAAAATGACTCGAATCCAAGTCGTACTCTCTAAAAGTCAATCAGTGGATTATCTGAAAACGGCGAATAGTCACCGATTGACCTTTAGAGAATAAATTACAATAATTAAGAACATACGAGGGCCTGTGCCGGGACGAAACGCGCTAGAGTTTGCAGCGATGGATTTATGGGCTGATAGAAATCCGCGGTAACCGACGAAAGTCCGGCGTGGGGTATTTAAACGAATCTCGACAGTTAGAATGTGGGTACAAATCCCAAGATAGTTAAGGCGTCTTAAGCATCTTGTATGTATTCGTCCAATTCTGCACGAACGAGATGTAATTGGGTCTACCGTGCCCGCGCCCCCCAAACTCCCGTCTCTCTCTCTCTTCGCGAGCTAACCCGAAGTTCGCAGCCGGGGAGAGATATACCAGCGTCGTCTACCAGGTGCACTCTCAAGTCCCTCGGATTAAAGTGCCGGAGCGCGAGTGCCGCAGAGTCACTCGTATAACTCGGTAGTTTAAGATTGACCGCGGAGTGACTCGATTACGACATACCGGAGCTTCGAAATTCAGTGGATTTTAGGATTTACTACACCCCGCCGGTAATCAGCTGCAACCCCCCTCTCCTGCGCCCGAGCTTTTTCCGTTCTGTGGATAATTGGGACAGCTCAGCTAAAATCTGACCGAGTAAATCCTTCATTTCCATTCCTCTGGGGTCTTGTCACGCGGACACTTTACAGCGTTAAACGCGCGCGAAAAATAAATGTTTCAAGCATAAAGTTTAATGAAATATAAATATGAAGCAACGCGACAAATACGCCCGCGGAAGAGGCTGTAATAATTGGAGGCCATTTGTTATTAAATGTTAACCCGCTGAATGTATATTTCCGCGCCACTATATTTCACGACAAATCAAGAATTTATATGAATATAAACGCGGATACAAATGTGAACGTATAACGCCACCGGGTGAGCATTGCAGGATTTGTACATCCAATTTCCAGACGACAGGGCTTAATAACCAAGGAACTTCCTACGTATGCGTGTTAATTAAAGTACACACGCGTTACCCGAATTTCTCAAACTTTAACTACTCCTCCGTTGACCGAAAGTTTAAATAGCTCGAGCTGCACATTCGGCTGGTACGAGAGCGAGGATATAGAGAGCATACTCAACCAACGGCGAGAGGCATGGCCGTTTGCATTAGATTTGTAATACAAACATTCGCATTCAATTTTCCGTGTATTCGCGAATACGTTAATTAATATATCATTGTTTAAACGTTGGATATAATTACGCGGTATCTATAGTCGCAATTAATTGATCGAAATTATTGTCGAGACAACAAGCGGCCCCGGTTATACAACACGCATTCATCCGTTTACGCGGGGGTGATCGAAAGAGGATACGGCGGAGCTGACGAACGATGTTTCGACGTTAAGGACGTTAAAGGGGAGATGAGAAAAAGCCAACCGCTCTCCGCTTTGGCGCAGCTCGGGAATTTCTGTCGAACTCGGGAGATGAAGCAATATAACGTCTCGTACGAAGGCTAACGGGAAGCGAGAGCTAGTTCGATTACCCGGGAATTGGTCTTTCATCGTCGCTCTAATTCGACGGTTACGTGGCAGCTTTCCGGAAGACTCACAAGGTTACAACTTTGCAAGCGACTACGATTGCAACGGCTGCGGAGGAGCGTACCGGAGTGGAATTTGCCGACCGACCGAGCGGTGCCACGTGAAGGCGACTGGATGCTGCCGCGTTGTGTAACTCGTCACGAGGATGAGACGAAGATTATCATAATAATTTAAGCGAGAGGGCGAAAGGAATGAATTACGAATCAATCTTGCGAGCTGACAGCAAACGTGACTCATGAATTTTCCAAATGGCGAGCTTATTTAATAGGTCTGTCGTCATCCTTTGTAACTTGCTCGATGAAGTATTCTTCGAGAGATTATGTGAGAACGAATGTAGCGATGATGTTTCGAAAGTAATCGAATACACCTCGCACGTTCTATGAATTAGCAGTTTTAATTGAATTAGCAAACACGCCGTGAGGTAAAATTTCAACTTTGCTTCTATCGACGAGAGCACAGGTTTAGTGATAATTGCGGTAATTAACCGGCGGATATTTTATTCACGGAAAGATGTAAAAAGAACGTACGGCGAAACGGGCGAGCAAATTTTCCGTGAATATTTCACAATCGTCGTATTTATCGTTGTTTGCGGCAGAACTTTCGCTTTGTTTTACACAATCACGACACAAAAGACTGATAAATAATTTAGCCACCTGCAAATCTGACCGTCCGGCCGCCATGAATATTTAACGACTGTTGCAGGCACGTCGCGAATGTGAAATCTTTGTCGTTCGTCGCACCGCGCTATTGCACTCCGCGTTGGTTGACCCCCTTTTTATCCGCAACGCCCACAATTGCCAGAAATTGGAGACGACCCAAGCGCTCCGAATGATAAGTGTACCAACTTCTTGCCCCCTCGTGAAAATCATTTTTATCGCCGCATTCGACACGGCCGTCGCGTAAATTAATAAGTTCGTTCTCAGTTGCGTTCCGCTGAAAGCTCGACTCCAAGTCGGACAAACGGCCGAGGCATCGCCGGGGTGGGACGATTCGAATAAATTCCCCGCGCGTACGTAAAATCGTCCTGAAAACAAGATGCGCGATACCGTTGCACGCAATCCGCCCCTCGTTGCAACACTTTGCGAATTATGTCTGGCAAGTGCGAGCTTGCATGTAATCGGCGGACGAAGCAATCCTCTCGTGTTGTATAATCATAAAGTTCGCAACTACCTTTCCGCACGGTCAATTGGAAACTAACCGTTCATGCGGTTGCCAAAAACCGAGCCGCTGTATCGTTAGCACGATCGGCTCAAAGGGAGCTTCGTGCACGTCTAAGGAAATCTGTCACGCCTCGCTATCTCTTTGTCGCCGTTCGCGCTTTTCCGATTCTTTGAACCAGATAGTCTTATCTCTAACACAGTTCCTATTTTCGGAAATGGCAGAATAAAAGGAGCGTAAAGGTTCCTTCATTCCCCGCCCATCGATTTTGCACGGTGATTAAAGTCACGCTTGCTCCGAAAAGTTGAAAAAAATATTTCAATAAAAGACCAGACCTTTGTCGAATACATTCTTTACACGTCAAATACTTGTAACGGCTGAGACATTAAAATTTATAAAACTGTTATATTATTCAATATTCAAATGCATATATGTATATATAAATCGCCGGAGACAAACGCGGGGGTAGCGAAACCCGAGACCGACGGGGTACGACGCGAGTGCACGCGCGTTCGCGACTTTAATCGCCGGGGACGATAGCGCGGCACGAAATCGCGGTGTCCCGACAACGGCGTAACGACGGCGCGAATAAGAGCGGCGGCTCGTTAGTCTCGCGATCACAGCCGCTCCGCTGAACGAGATGTGCTCTCCGGTGACAGAACCGCGTCCTTAATTTCCCGCCCGCTCCCGTTCCGCTCGCCTCGCGCGTGAAATTATCAGCGGGGCGGATTAAAGAGAGAACGGACGACACTTGTTCGCAGCCTCCGGTACGAATCCTCGATCCACCACGTGGATCTCGCGTTCGATCCTCGACGGCTCGCCCGACACAACTGTCATCCTTGTACCCCGAGCGACCGGCTCGGTCGAGACGCTCTCACTAGCGAACTTACGCTCTTATATATCGGGACGGGATTCTAGCCGTGAGACGCGGAGCGGATTTAAGCTGCCCGCGTTATATAGGGTGATATCACTACGTGGCGGCTTGCCCGCGACTGAGAGAGCTTTCGGACCAACCCCGTCCGAGTTTCCCGGATCGGCCGCGGTAGCGCTGCGCAACCGAATCCACCCCCGTTTTCTCTCTCCCCTGGCGCACCGCGCTCTCCCCTCCCGTTCGTTACTCTCCCCCGCGCCCCTGTGTCCCACCAGCTTCCG